AATGGCCACCGGAAGGAGGGAATCCAAAATGGCCATGGCCAGTGAAGACCACGCTGTCGGATCCATCGATTAGGAGAGCCGCCGCTCCGAACCTCAACAAGATGCAAGAGCCAAACAGCGCTGATGAAAGGCAGGTGATGAAAAAGCAGCAAGCCGCGCAGGTAACCAATGAATGGACAATCTCAGCGGTGAAGATCTGCTTAAGACAAAAATTGCCCCCGCATCCGGATAGAAGTGCTTGCCTGCCTGGAAACCAAATGCTGACAGAGAAAGCAAAAGATAACCTAACTAGTCATTCAAGCAAAGGGAAAGGAAAAAAATCAGCACTTTGGAAACAATCACACCAAATAAAAAGCAAAAATCTAAATGCAATAGCAGGAGACACAAAAAATACGTCCAACTGGGCAATGGATTGAATTGAAAACTGGATATGTGAGGAGACAAGGAGGCGTGGCTGGAAATTCAATTTAGTCCATTGGGCAGAAGGACAAGATTCAACCCGTTGCTTGGACTCTCCCACAGTGCATGGGAAAAGATATGCTTGTCCAAAACATGAAATAAAATAATAAATATTCTTGTCCAAAACATGGACAAAAACAAGTATTTATTTTTCAATATTTGTCATATTAATGGCAATTTTAATTACATAAGTTTTAAATTCTGTCCAAATGTAGACTTTATCAAGTGGACCATGAATACTAAATTCTAATTTATTAACAACACATAATGTTTTATTTATAACAGAGCTGAAGATTATAAGGATGGAATCCCTAAAACCAGCCCAAGAAATCCATCAAAATGATATTTTTGCTGCTGTATACAGCATACGCTTTATATGTAAGGATCTGCTGAATTCTTCAAAAATACCTGTCAATGTGTTAAAATACCTATATTTCTGAATTATATTGTATTTGTCTCGGGACCATTTTATATTAATTTAAGATCAACTCAATATCAGCATAGCGTTAAAAAGTAACCGTAATATTGATTTTCTCAATGAAAATGTACTATGTGCATTAAATGAAAACTGTAAAGGAACAAAGACATGTGGATATTATTTTTTATAGTCCTTTTGTCAAAACATCTGAAGAAATCCACATTTGAGGCTTTCTTTTTTCTTCAATAGAAAATCACATTTACTTTTAAAGTAGATGACAGAGCCAAAGTAATAAAAATATTATATTAATATAAAACTCAGTTCCTAGCAAATTATGTTGTGAAACTTTTTTGGAACTATTGAAGACATCCAAATCTAAAGCTTATCAAAAGCTTAAACTCAGCTATGATCCATTTCCTGCCACCTGTATTCCACAGTGTACTGAATGAATTTAATTTGCTCTTTATTCTCATAGTCATGCTGGATCATTTAAAATGACTTTCTGTTAAACATTCAAATCGGCCTGTACCAATCCAATTTACTGTTTATTTTTTCATAAAAGAAAGCATAATTAATATTAAAAATAGAAATAATATTTGGTGTTGTCTAAATGCAAAATCAATTTATAAAGAAAATAAATTATTTTTCATTTGAAAAGGAAAAAAAATAATATCAAGACAGAGAATGTTCTCTGCTAGACCAAAAGAGAGGGATTTTTTTTCAAATATAGAATAAGACCTGATATATATTTTTCTTACCATTCCGAAGTACCCAACAGAGAATATAGACACTAGAATACTATTGGTATATACTCTATTCCTGGAGATAATGAACCTTTTTATAACATGATTAAAAAGTTATCTGGATCAAAAATGAGATAAAAAAGGGAATCAGCACTTTAGAGTGATAATATATTCCTTTCTTCCTGCTTTCCCTTCCTTTTTTCCTTCAAGGATTAATGTAAGTATTTTAGGGTAAGAAAAGGTAGATTCTTTTTGGCTTCTTGGTTTATTTAGAAGAATGATTATAAGTTCTTGGAGAGAGATAGTGCTGAAGAAGAGGAATTTTGGCTGCAGAAAAAGGCTAGACTAAAAGATGAAGACAAGAAGAAACGGGAAGAAAAGAACGTGAATCTGGCAAGAGTTTATACCATGTTGTGCTAGACAAGATTGGAAAGGGCAGGCATAGTCTGCAGAGTGATGTCATGTTAGCATAATGTGTACAGTAAGGGATTAAGTCAACCACTGGATGTACTGACTATAATCAAGGATGAATTTGTCTGTGGATACCATCATTTGGAATCTGGTCAAAGATCAGTACAGTATGACTCAAGTGTAAATAATGGCACAGAGCCATATCAGTGATATTCAGTTAAAAGGCATGAATTAAAGAAAGGAAGCATCAGAGGAGCTGAAATAAACTAATATGCATAACAAAACAAAAAGAACAGAAAGCTGTTCTTCACCCAGGAACAGACTGGATTTGTATAGGTGCAGCTGGAACGCGAGAAAGATTGCTGGAAATAACTAATTCTACAGCTTTTTAACAAACAATGTAGTTGTGCCAGTTCGTATCTACATAAACATAACTAATTTTATAATAAATAAATATTTGGAGAATATCCACAGGGAAGTCAGCAGCACCAAAACAGAGGGTGCAAAGGGCAATCAAAGCCCTGCCTTTTTTTTTAGTATGGATGCAATGTGCATGGCCCCATATAAAAAAAATATGGAACTTTAATCTTCCATTATGCCCACCATTTTATTGCCACTGATTTCCCCAATGCAGACATGGTTCTGGTTCTGTTGGTGGCCTTTACAGAAATGGAACAGATCAGTTGAGCAGAGATCGAGAAAGAGGGGTTTTTTCCCCTTAAGGTATTGCCTTATGATGTTTCACATAAAAAAGGATTATTAAAAATATTTATTGAGGCAGAATCATCAGTCTTTACAGATATAAGTCCTATCTCATGTACTGATGTTTAAACTTATTTCGAAGTGTTCGAAAGTATTTGGATGGGACAATATGGGAGACATTATAAACTTGAAGATTTTTTAAAAAATATTTTGGCAAAATCTTTCGTCAAAGGCTTTTGAGTACATTCAGTAGCTATGAGATAATAGAAAATAAATATATGGTTTTTAAAATGGGAAACAGTATGACTAAATGATCAGTTTTTATAATCATATACCAAAAGCAAGTGGAGGGCATCCCCCAAAGATCCTTTTTAGGCCTGTGCTTCAGGTTATAAATTATCTGAAGTTAAGACTAACAAATCATATAGTCAAGTTTGAAGTTGGCATCAAGTCCAATAAAAGTAAATCTATAATGATGCATAGGAACAAAATTTCCAATTCTACATATACACTTATAATGACTAACCAGGAAAAAAAATCTAGGTCATGGCAGACAGCCTAAAGGAAGGAATATAAAAGCTAAAGAAAATGATTAAAAGTTGCATATTAATACCAGATTTGGTCATCATATCCATATTTATGATTTATTTCACTAATGTTTATTTTTGGGTAGTTTGATGTTGAAATACTGCAAAATACCGGAAAGGGAAGGGGGTGGGAATCAACTTTCAATTCTGAGTAATGAAGCAAAAATTCAACTGAATGGCAAAGGGAAACATAGGGAAGTAATCACTAATTTAAAAAGTCTAGCAATAAAAGCAATTTGACAATTAGTAAGTAGTTGATTGATAAGTTATTAGTAAGTGGTTGATTGATAAGTTATTTGATCGCATAAGCCAAATCAAGCATCAATAAAATATCTTCAAAATATATCAATATACCATGCTACAGAGCAGAATGCTTTCAGAGAAAGGCATTACCTTTGCATCAATCTGTTCTATAAAACAAGCCCTGACAAGAGTTAGCAGCTTATCAGAACTTTATAAGAAAACACAAGAGTTCCTGTGACATAGAAAGGGTATTTCTGTCAACCAGCTCACAAATGGCACTACATCACTTAGAAGAAGTTTTTACTCTCCTTTTTCCCAATCTGCAAGGTTAGGAAGAGAAAATTTTAGGTATTGGGGAAAATAAAAATACTTTATTATTGCTCAGCCTACACATGAAATCTTTTGAGTTCTCAAAAATCCTTAAGGCACAAATTCACCAAGTGTAACCTTTGTTCACCAATTCTTCTTACCCTATGCTACCTTACAATCACATGCAAAGACACAAGAAGAAGAAAGCTAATGTAATGTAAGCTTGGGGAAGCAGAAATGGGATCCTGTTGAACCAATAGAAAATGCCAAGAAATTGTTAATGACGCTCGGACCCAGGCAACAACAAAAAAGATGCGTCGGGAGGAAGCATTACTGGTGATCTAAGATATCTCAGGGGCTGCCACAAAGAAGAGGGAGTCAACCTATTCTCCAAGGCACCTGAGGGCAGGACAAAAAGCAATGGGTGGAAACTAATCAAGGAGAAAAGCAGCCTAGAACTAAGGAGAAATTTCCTGACAGTTAGAACAATTAATCAGTGGAGCAACTCCCTCCAGAAGTTGTGAATGCTCCAACACTGGAAGTTTTTAAGATGATGTTGGATATCCATTTGTCTGAAGTGGTGTAGGATTTCCTACGTAGGCAGGGGGTTGGAGTTGAAGACCTTCAAGGTCCCTTCCAACTGTTATTCTATTCTATGTTCTACTCTTGGTATACGCACATCTTTTACACCAAATGCCATGAGTGTGGCCGGGGAGGGGGAAGGGTGTCCCTATGTGTCCGTGTATGTCCAACTATGTCGGTTCCTCCCTGCATCAGGGTAACAAACAGAGCGCTGCAACAAATACGATCGCGCTGCCCTTCCTCTGCTCCCACCCTCCCTTTCCTACCTGAAACAGCATTGAAAATTTCACTACCGTTTTTTTATGCGTAAACTCAGCCTGTGTGTGGTTTTATGCACACACGGAAGCACACACACAGGAACACATAAACGGCCTCGCTCCCTTCCTGCTCTCTTTTTTTTTAAATGAACTATGGAGAACCTACCGCCATTCATTCCCATCCCAGGCTCAGCAGCTCCCTCTTTCCCCTTCTTCCAATCACAACCCCGACGCTTTCTCGTCGGCGTTTCTCCTCCGTCCAATCAGCAGGCGCCTGAGGCTCATCTTTCTTCCAGGTCCCGCCCCTCCCCTGGTTACCGGAAGTGTGATGTGGCTCGTGGCGGCGCGTAACTATGGTAAGAGCGGCGTTCGGGAAAGAGGCCTGCGCTTGGGAACCAGGGTCGGCCGGTCCTTGTGGCTCCTTTGGCGGGCGGACCCTTTGGGAATGGCGTGATAACGCGCGTGGAAGGCCGCTTGGGCCCCTTTCCCCAGGGTAGCCTCTCCGCCTTTGGCTTTGCGAAAGAGGCCTAGCTGAAGGCGCCGTGAAAGGTGATAGCTCAAAAAGGGAGCATCACTTTTTACTCCGTTGTCTTCTTCTTTGTGTAAACTACGGGTGGCGAAATCTTGGCTCGCCGAATAGCCTGGCTGGTTTGCGGCTCAAGAGTGTTGTGCGAATCTTTCCTTTGTAATTCAGGGTGCAGTAACACTGCGGTTTAAGTTAATGGTGGCTACAAATGGGTTATGTGGACACAACCCCCTATATGTATGCAGTAAAAGCGTGCCTTACCTCTGTGCCTACTGCTTTTACATTATTCAAAGAAGTGTAATACTTTTGGTATTTTTAATTGCATTTGTAATCAGTATTAAAAGCACTTGTGATCAATTGCACTTGTGGTTGTTGCAGTTTACTTTTGATTTTATAATCTCTTGTCCCTGATGTGCTAGCAAATATTTACTACATAGAATTGTCCACCAGAATTGTCCAATATCAAGGCAAAATATTTAGGTGCTTTGTTTGTTTCTAAAACACAAAGCAGAATCTACTATTTATCAAACTTGTACTGTGCTGCAATCTGATGATTCTCAGCACTTTGTGGAGTGTGCAATATGACAATAGTTAAAACATGGTTAATGTGATTTTTTTTAAATGACATACTCCCCCCCCCCCAACAAAGACAGATTAGAATCTGTAACTTAGTAATACATATAAGACATTTACATGGAAATAATTGTACTGCATTAAGTTGGGTGCCCTTCCATTTCTATTTAAAATAAGCTTGTATTGTATATTTTGTGATGTCTTGTTTTATTACAATTGGGGCAAAAAAATAGGGGACAAGAGTGGAAGAATTGTGACATTTAATTAGGTCAGTTGTGTCACATATTTAATTACAAACTTAATTGCAGTATGGCAGGCAAACTTCATGGGAAATATTAGGTACTGAGTGCAGAGGTCCCTAAAAGAAGAAATACATGCAATCTAAGCATGTCAAATGGCAAGAAAAATTGTCTTTTGAAAGAGATCCTTGGGAGGATTAAGAATTGTTTAGCAGCACTGATTGTAAGAACTACTTTTTTAGATCTGGTCTAGAAAAATTTCCCTTTTCGTTTTTACACTATGGCTACTTTGTACATCATGGTAAATGAAGTGTTTCATTTAAATGAAGATGTATTGAAGCTTCCAGAAGACCTGGGTCTTCACCCAAGCTTTTGGTGAGGATGACTGAAGCTTTTCTTTCTTTCCACTGGGTTTGTTATTCTGCCAATTCTACTTCTTTTGTTTTTATTCTCTTGTTTTTATCTGTGTCTGAAGTTACATGTTCAAATCCCTGCTTTTTTGGGTGCATAAGACAAGAATCTCAATTTCCACATTGTATGTTCACTATTCAAAATGGTATACTGGTAGGTCTGCTTGAGTAGGGGTTGGACTACAAGATCTCCAAGGTCCCTTTCAGCTCTATTCTGATTGATTGATCGAAAAAATAAGAATCCATTATGAGAGCAAACAAACCTGCTACAACAAATGAGACCACTAAGTATGAGTGTTACTAATTAGCATCAATTCTCCAAGACTTAAAGTACAAATCAACATGGCCTTTCTGAACCCAAACTAGATGTCAAGGATTATAGCTGGGCCTTTCTGCACATAAAGCTTATCCTGAGCTCTCCAGGTTTCATCTAAATTATACGTGACTTAATTCACTTGTATGTATGTCTGTATTGCACTTTGAGATACTGTTTTCGTGAGAGCAAAATCTGCCCCTTTCTCATAACTTTATACAGTCATCCCATTGAGAGGATATATTAGAATATTTATTTGTATCCCATCTTTATTATTTTTACCATCAAGGTGGAGAACATATCCAACATAACTTCCTCCTCCTATTTGCTCTGTAACAACCACGCTGTGAGTTAGGTTGGGTTGAGAGAGAGTGATTGGTCCAAGGTCACACAGCCTGATTCATGGCTATGGTGGAACTAGAACTCAGTGTTCCCTGATTTTTAGCCTGGTATATTCCAATTTTTGCTTTAGAAGCCTAAGTTTGTAATGTCAGAATACGATACCCAACAAACTGTTTTGACTATTGAAATAGAATACAAACTAAGACTTTAATTTGCAAAGAAGTAATTTATGAATGATCTGAAATTCTCAATAATAGTTTGAAAAAGAAATTATCTAGTATTTCATTGTTCCTGATATACTAGAATTATAAATAGTAATAGGCTGTTAAATTTCTTTTTTTGTAATTATTTATGGGAAGAAGTAAATGAATATAGTAAAGAGAACTTTTACAAACTCAAGAGTAACTTAATATGTTATCTTTTTTTTCAGTCTGCGATCTTCAATTTTCAGAGTCTTCTGACAGTAATCTTACTGCTTATATGTACATGTGCATACTTAAGATCGTTGGCTCCCAGATTACTGGATAACAATAAAACAGGGTACGTGAATTTCTAGAACTTTGGTGAAAGGATATGCATGTAAGCTTATTTTTTACTTTTAATATATTGATTCTTTTGAAAACTGACTCATTGATACAAATCATTGTTAATCCTCAAAAGCTTAATTACAATATAAGTCATAACCGCGGAACATTTTCATTTTCTTAAAATGGAGTCTGCCTTTCTAAGAAGTATGAGATTTCACTATTTAGACCATTAGAGAAAAGATTTTTAAAGTTAATGTTATCCCCAGTGTTCTATATTGGGTTTTTATTATTATTTTATGGAGATTTTACAATTATGTGGTTTTATTTGGCATTTTAAAGACTGTAAATAGCTGAAACTTAGTTTGAAGCTGACAATGTATAAATCACATACTAAATGCATAAAATAACTTACAATTTTAATACTTATTCAGTAAAATGCTAATTAAGCTAAAATGCCTAATCTAAAAACCTTCTTTCTAAATAAAACTTCGTACATATCATTTTAAAATAGGCAATATAAGTAGCACATCCTTTCTAGAACTCATTCTATATTTTTGACATCATGCCTTTTCTTTGAAACTCGGGACTTTAAGAATGATTGCAGCTAAATTGAATTTCCAAGCAACCTGATATGAAGAAGGCTATTAGGCTTAAAAAGCCAAATTAAAAAATAGCCAATCTTTACAATTTAAACATATTTTAGTATACTACAATTGTTAAATAATTTTCTCTAAAGCATTAATGATAAAAATTTGGCTACAGCTTTTAGAAACCTCTGGAATCCACATCTAAGTGATACATTCCTCAGTGCATGAGGGGACAATCTTGGGACCTTTTAAGGAGTCCTTGGTTTGTCTTTTCCTTACAAAGCCAACATTTGACCCTATCTACCTGAACAACTTTTGTCCAGTTCCCATCTTCCCTTTTTGGGAAGGTCTTGGAAAAAGTGGTTATTCGACAGCTACAGGGGATCCTGGTTGACACAGATTTCCTGAACCCCTTTCAGTCAGGAGTCATACCTGGCTGTGGAGAGGGAGAGCTTCACTGCATTCACGGATGATCTCTGATGGGAGCAGCAGCCATTCTTTGTGCTCTTGATCTCTCAATGGCCTTTGACAAAGTGCAGCAGTGAGAGCAGACTTTGGGGCCCCTAGAATGGGTCATATTGCACCTCTGCTCTGAGAACTTCACTGGCTACTGATCTGCTTCTAAGTGCAGTTCAATTAATTATGACCCTTAAAGCCCTTAATGGCATATGTCCAGGCTACCTGATGAACCTCCTTATTCCATGAGGACAAGCCATTCCTACTTATGCTAGCAAAGGGAGATTACTTCAGATCCAGTTGGTCGAACAACTCTATCGAGATTCAGAGTAAGAGCCTTCTCTGCTGCAGCAGCTGCCCTTTGCAACATATTACCCTCTAAGATAAGATTTGTCCCTACCCTCCTATCTTTCCACGTGAGCCTAAGATCTGGCTCTGACATTTGGCCCAGAAACTAACGGTTGCATTGATGGCAGATCACCCCACCACTTTCTCTCTGTTCTCCACCCATCCATCTTCTTGGTATTCTAATTGAAGTATACTTGTTGTGTTCCCTTTTCATTGTTTATTTCATGATTGTATTGTTTTACTTCTGTTTACACTCCTTTCATTTTCTTCCTTTTTATTGTAAGCCACCTAAAGTAATCCCATGGCAATCGACAACAAATAAATTTAACAAATAAATATATAAAATAAATACATTAATGCTTTAATGAGCTTTAGGTTATTCTGCTGTATCATATGACTTGGTGTTATTATAACAATAGGCTATAATATCCATTTTGAACTAAATGAGCAAACTTAAGATTTACAAGGCAATACTTAAAATTATGCATGTCACTTTTTATGGTGCATGTAGCAATTCAAAAGCATTTTATGAGCATGAAAAAACATCAGCAGATTTACAATTCCTTAAAAATAAGTATTGGGCTATTAGTCATTACTATTATATCTGTAATATTGCAATTGGCATCTAATCATAGTGAAAATATAAAATTGTTTCTTACAATTAATGTTTTCAGATTATTGGGCATATTCTGGAAGTGTGCCAGAATTGGTAAGTAGTATCTAATTTCTAGTCATTCATACATATACATGCATGCATACACTGTTGTCGAACAATACAATTCAGTATAACATTTAAGCATGTGTAAATTTGTTAAAAAATGCAAATTGGTGGTAGTATTAGTTCCCACACTCTGTTCACTTATTTATCAAATTTATACGGCTACCAAGCTCATAAGAAATTATTCTGGCCAGCATATATATATATATGTGTGTGTGTGTGTGTGTGTGTGTGTGTGTGTGTGTGTGTGTGTG